CTGCTTCTCCCTCTGACCCTCTTCCCTCTCGTGCTTTCTATCTCTCATTCTCTCTCTCTCAAATAAATAAATAAAATCTTAAAAAAAAAATGTATTGGCAGCGGCTGGAAAAACAAACCAAACATAAACAAGTGAAGTTAAAAAAAAAAAGAAAAACCTTACTTACTTTGACTTGCTCTTGGCAACTTTCTCGCAGAAAGGTTGAAAGAGAAAAGAAAATAGCAACTTGTTATCTTTCTTATGCAAAGTTCATATAAATGTCTGTAATAAATATGTAAGTGACGAAGTATGCCATGGGTTGTCGCTCAAGTAACTACTCCCTAGCTTGGGGGGATGCCGCTAGGATTCTAGAAAGAACACAAAGATCCAGTAAGACCAACACAATTCTGGATGTAATGCTTTGTACAATCTCTTTTCAGTTGGACCGGTTACTTTTCAAATCTAAAATCTGCTCCACATGTTCCTCTTCTAAGGTGCAAAAATTGCACTGGAACAAGCCACTGGTCTGACAAGTTAACCTATGCACCGCAACAACCATCACATCAGGTGGAGGAGGGAAACTAACCTAGAAGTTGGCCTGGTGCAGGGAAGAGCGCGGCCTTGGGGAGCCAGACACTTCCTTCCCAGCCCAGCTGTACTGACTTAGTAAGTCACTGCCCTTCTCAAGCCATTTCCTCATCTTCAGAGTTCGAAACGAGTGGACTAAAAATTTTGAGGGTTTTTTCCCAGTTAGGACGTGCAGCGATTGTGCTACCACATCCGTACGGAGGACGGGGGAAAGCGCCCCACTACCGCTGACCAGCCTCGACTGCCCCTGTCTCGGACCGCAACGGGACCGAGAACTAGTGCCGCAGAACCCCCAGCACCACTCGCCCCGCAAAGCCGTGCGCCGCGAGGCATGCCGGACGCTGTAGTCCAGAAGGCCTGGAGAGTCGCAGCGGCAGCTTCCCGGCCGGCGCGCGCCCCCGGCCCCGCACCGTCCCGACGCCTTCCTCCCGCCCTCGCCGCAGGCCCTGCCGCCGCCTCCAACCCCACTTACAAGTGACCGCGGACAGGAACATGGTGACAACACCCACGCAGTCTCCTAAACGGGACCAAAGACTCTCAGCGAACAACTGCTTCCGGGGCACAGGCCTGTTCCGGAAGAGGACGTCGGGTAGCTGCCTAAAGCCACGCCCCCCCGCATAAGCCTCCAGTCCCGACGTCCCCTCTGTTTTGGGTTCTTCAGAGGCTAGGCGTTTTCCTTTTGTGGTGCTGGAGGTTGGAGTCCCCTTCCCTGGCAGAGAGAGAGTTTAAAGCGCTCAGGTTCACGCCCCAAGCCCTGCCTCTTACTTCTGGGTCAGAGTTAGGTCTTTGCATACTTGTTTCACTAAATAATCGCCATCACCTGCATTAAAGCCACAGGAACGGTATGTGTTTCTCAGCCGCTCCAGGCTACTAGACTCCCCCACAGTTCCTTAAAATGTTGCCTTCTTTTGCCTCTCCCGGTCCAACTTCATCTCCACCTGGTTGAGAGCTGCTTTCAGTCCCTTTGGAGTTAGAACCCCCACCTGAGTATCCCCCATTCCTTAATTACCTGTTGGATTTCTAGGAGAGCAGCACCTTGTGTATCTTGTGTTAACTGCTATATCCGAGCAACTAGTGCCTGCAAGAGGGGCTGAATAACAGATGCGGGGCACTCACATAACTAGCCTAATGTCACAAAACTAGTCAATGGCAGAGTCAGAATTCCAACCCAGGCCTTGTCTGACTGCCAAGACTCATGCCTTTCCCACTACACTGGGACCTACTACCAATGTGCCTCTTCAATTCTTCATGTCTCTCTGCAAGGAACCTGGGCTCTTTCAACACCAAGAACTTCATCTGTAACCTCATTTCCCAACTAATAATAGGACTTTCGAATTTTTTCCTAATCTATGATTTTGTCTATATATTAAATCTTACAAATGTGAAATAAAACTCAATCTCATGGATTATCTTCACAAAAAGTAATAAAATTATTTAAAAAATTATTTAACTCTTCAATACAATTCATTTTTTTTAAATTAGGACAGTCCTTGCCCTTAGTTCCTTACAGTTTTTTAACCCTCTAATGATTTTCGGTCCTCTGATAACCTGACTCTTAACAATTGAGCACCCTCTAAGTGCCCAAATCCTTTACCTTGTGCAGTTCATCTGCTGACAAAGAGTTTTAGGTGTTCAAGAAGGTCAGGTTTCTTATCTAAGAAATTCCTTTAGAGGATATACAAGAAAAGTACATAGGACTGGAAGCCAAGAAACATGAATTTTAGCCTTTGTTCTGTCCTTCGGAAAGTCAACTATTCACACCTCAGTTTCATGCTCAGTGGGGCATTGGATCAGTGGTTCTCATCCTGATGGTATATCAGAGTCGCCTGTGGTCTTTTTTAAAAAATCCATTTGCCACCAGTAAGGCCCAGAGTCTGTATTTTCCCCAAGTTTTCTATAACATTACAAACATATCAAAAACTTGAAAGGATAGTGCAATGAACACACCATATGCCCAGTTCAACAAATGCTGACATTCTGCTATGTATTCTGAATAAATAAGTATATTTTATATACATGTTTTTTTGCTAAGCTGTGTGAAATTAAATTGCAGATATCACAACCCTTCACCCCTACACATTTAAGTAGGTATCTGTCAAGACTAAGATTATAACTATAATACTATTTTCACTCCTAAAAAAATTAACAATAGTTTCCTAATATCTAGTCCATATTCAAATTGTCTTTTCTAGCTGGTTTCTTCAAAAACAGTATCCAATCAATGAATTAAGACAACATCCTTCTCCCTCTCAGAATCTGGCATCAAACGTTTGCCTCCCTCCTTCCTCCTTTCCATAGAAGCCACTCTGGTGAGGGCCCCAGTGACCCCTTCAGCACCAAGCGCCATGGTCAATTCTTGAGCCTTATGTTCCTCAGCATCAATCAGTATTATTTTACACAGTGGCTCACTCCTCCCTGAAAAATTTTCTTCACCTGGTGTCCAGGTAGCCACTCTCTTGGTTCTTCTCCTTCCTCATCAGCAATTCTTTCTCTGTTTTCACCTCACCCACCCTTCAGTGGAGGCCTGCCCAGGGCTCAGTCCTTGGATCTCTTCCCTGTCCACACTCCTTCCTTTGGTGGTCACAGCTAGTTTGGGTTTTGAAAAATCTAGAGGCTGAAGATTTCTAAATTTATATCTCCAGTCTCAACCTTTCCTCTGGATTCCAGATTGGCATATTTAACTGCCTATTTGACAGCACATGTCCAAAATCAAATTCCCAAACTTGCTCTGTATCCCTAAGGCTTCCCCCATACCAGTGTGTGGCAATTCCATTTTTTCAGTTGCTCAAGTAAAAAGCCCAGGAGCCAACTTGACACCTCTTTCTCTCATGGCCTATATGTAATCAATCAGTAAATTCTATCATTCAAATGTCACCTAATCAGTGAAGCCTTCCCTGGCCACAGAAGGAAAGCAACACACACACACACACACACTCTCTCTCTCTCCCTATTCTCCTTACTTCACTTTATATTTTTCTACATCACTTCTCACCACTGAATATTTTGTGTGTGTATTTGTTGGTTTCCTTATTATCTGTCTTTGCCCACCACAATGTAAAGTTCCTAAGATCAGGAACTTTGTCTTATTCACTCACTGCTCTATCCTGGTGCCTAGAACAGTGCCTACCACACATGTTGACTAGCTGCTGAATGAACTGAATAAATGAATCTGAGATGAGCGGCACCATAGAAATGTTAAATTATTAATAAACAAGTTTAAATGGCAAACGATAAGTGTATACTTGTAGTTCATGGTTCAGGAGAAGTTATAAGCTTGTGGGGGGCTTCGGGCTTTTGTTTTTTGTTTTTTTTCTTTTTTTTTTCTTTTTTTTTAGAGAGTGTATGTACACTGAGCAGGGAGGGCCGAGGGTGAGAGAGAATCTTAAGTAGGCTCCATGCCCAGCACGGAGCCTGATGCAGGGCTCAGTCTCACAACCCTGAAGTCAGGGCCCTGAGATCATGACATGAGCTGAAATCAAGAATCAGACACTTCACTAAGCCACCCAGGCGCCCCTATAAGCTTGTTTTTAAAAAGAGATAGCAGGGGGCACCTGGCTGGCTCAGTTGGAAAAGCATGTGACTCTTGATCTCCGAGTCATGAGTTCAAACCCCACATTGGATGTAGAAATTATTTAAACAAGTAAAAAAATTTTTAGAAAGAAATATCAGGGTGCCTGGGTGGCTCAGGTGGTTGAGCATCTGACTCTTGATCTCCACTCAGGTCTTGATCTCACGGTCATGAGTTTGAGCCCCACGTTGGGCTTTGCACTAGGCATGGAGCCTACTTAAAAAATTAAAAAATAAAAAATAAAGAGAGATAGCATAAGAACTATTTCTTGAAATTCCTGGATGGAGTAGAAAGGAAGCAGCGGCTTTCTAGTCTCATTACTTCAACCTGCATCCACCTGTTATTTACATCTAACACTTTGTTGGCAGTTGGTAAGTGTTAATTAAAATGTTTATTAATACAGATGCGATTCATGATTTGGGTTTTGGGGTGGGTTTGTTGTTTTGTTTTTTTTTTGCCTGAATTTACATAATGAGCCCTCTGTGCCTTATTAAAGTGCAGAATAATTAGAGAATCCTGGCAGCCCAAGCGGAAGGGGTGAAGGCCTTAGAGGAGGGGCATGCATCTCTTCGGTGCGGGGGGAGGTGCCGAGTGGGGGAAAGGTACAGCTGTTTCACCTGGATTGTCAGCCCAGGAAAGCAGATGGAGGAGAACGTTTATTGAACATCTACTCTCACAGAGCTTTAGACACAGTGTCTGTGTTACATCAGTTAATACTGCATTCCCAGCGCTTAGCATTGGGATTCAAACCCCAGATCCAGAAGCTATTCCCCTCCTCTCCTGTTCCAGGAGGTCCCTGACTGCCCATTGCACAGCGCACTCTCATACCTATGTCCCACCTGACTTATGGTTGGGAAGTACAGCCACTATTCTTATCTACAGGGTCAGTGACTTGTTCCAGGGGCCTGGGAACGTGGGCGGGGTGGGGAAGGAGACTGTACAGGAGATGGCCGGGGCTCCCTGCAAAAAGCTGGCACCTTCCCAAGCATAGACACCTCCAGGCAGATGAGACAGCCTCGCAATTAGGTCCTACGCCTCAACAGATTGGTATTAGAGCAAAGACTTCCTGAGGAAGCAAGAATAAAAGCTGGCAAGACCTGGGGGCACCAACTGGTTTCAATCTATGTGGTGGGTGTCCTCAGGTTGGCATTCAATGCCCTCCATAATCTAGCCTCAGCCTCCTAATTCAGTCCCATCTCTTTTCACTGGGGCCCGCTGGGTATCAGTCCCCTTCCGGATGAAGTCTCTCCTGACTCGCCCTCCCACCCGACACGTCCCCTCCACATATTCCTCTCACAGCACCTAATATGCTTCCCTGCGCTTCTCACTGGTCTGCCTCCCCCCACTGGCATCGAAGTCCCTTGAAGGCCAGAGCTTCTGAATCTCTGCAGATCATCCCTCCAACCCCCCAAGCAGGAGCTCCTAAGGTGGCTGCCCTACTGACTTTGACAAATATGAACTGAGCACCTTCAGGAAACATGCCTCCAGCCATTCTGTCTCTTCAACCTTCCTTCCCCCACGGTCCACCCCGAGACAGGCAGAGTGGGAGGAACCTGGGAAAGAACAGAAGCAAAGGCACAGTGTCTAAAAACTGGACAGTGAGCATCCTCCTGGGGCTAGGGTGTGTGAAGAAGTGAGGGAGAGGAGCTAGAAAGGATGGCTGGAGCAAGGTCATGGAAGAACCAGGATGTTGTGGTTGGGAGCCAAGCTTTGGTTCTGTGGTGGGGGGAGTTAAGGGATGTGATCAGATCCCTAGAGTGGCAGCATCTGAAATCACATGGTTTTCCTGGCTAATTGGGAGAGGTAGGGACTCTCCCAACCCACCAACCAGAACACTCTGGAGGTCCTCTTCACTTGGGAAGCACCTATAGACACTTTCCCTGCTCTGCATATTAATGCCTATTTATTTAGTTAACACACACATTTGGTGTTTCCTTAATAATTGGTAAATTCTTCCTGCTTATTTATTATCTTAGACCAGTCCCTGAGCCTTTTCCGGG